TCATCCACCGTTCATTGTTATTCATTGAATGCATGAAAAAACAACCAGAGCCTCTCAATAATATACAATTAGAATTGAAATTATATAATAAGAAAACGGCTTGGGAAACCGTAAAAAGTCCTTAAAAAGATTGCTTGTGTTCAGAACAGGTCTGATTGCAAAGTTAACACACTCAAAGCAATGCGTTGGAGCTCTGATACCGTTCAGGATTGTCGGCACTGGCGTTCTCATTGCGCGGACCTCCTCCCGAAATGCCTGCGGCTATCAATTGTTTCTGGGTGTGTTTAACTTTGTTATCAGCTTAGTGCATAGAATAACTAAAATTTAAAGAATTGGCTCTGGAATTACGTCCCTGTAACAAAATAGCTGTAGGATCATTGCTCTGTGCATGATCAAACTTGAATCGCAACTTTTGTTGTGCAACGGCTGTCACTGGTGTCTATGTGTTGCTGATTCAGTTGTATACGTCCGTGACTGAACGTGAGGTGACATGTTAGGACTCTATTCGTAGAGTTTAAGACTTAATGAGCCTCGCAGGACGCCAGCCCATTTTTAATATTTATTTGTCCCGAAAGATGGTGAATTGTAATGCAAGTAAACCATTGCATTAGAACGAGGAATTCCAGAAAAATTAAAGGATGGCAGCAGTGCTGAATTGAAAAAATATTAGTGGATAGTGGTGCATGGTGCAACTGAACCCTGAGTTGGTTCCAAAGTAATATGACAAAAGGCAGATAGTTAAGTTCTGCAAAAACTAATCTATCTGAGGGCAGCCGATACCTGCTTCCTTGCGTCATATTACTGAATATAATTTAACGCTAAATTTCAATGCATAGTGTGGTGCAAAGGTTGAAAAATATAATTCATCATACAACGGAAGGCAAATAATCTACTCGTGCCAGAGGATGTTGTTTGAGAGCAGCCAGACCTGCCTCCTTTCGTTTGTATGTATGAGTTTTGCCGGTGAAGCCCTAATGGGTGGAGGTTGCCCCCACGAAGGAAGCCTTCGCGCGGCGGTGGGTGTTAGTAGGTTACACAGAGGGATAACACAAGGAAGCTCGGCGTAACTGAAGCTAATTCCTTTAGAAAAGGGATGTTAAATAATTATCGACTAAATGATGAAAAAAGAGTATGAAGATAATGATTCTTGCGTTGAATCTGATAGTTGATATTCTGCTTATTAATACCATTAAGGTGTTAAAGCCCCAGCATATGGCATTCTCCTTCTACTATTATTGGTAGTTGGTTGCTAAAGCCTAGCACGCAAGTGCGGGTTTCTGTCGGGGCGAAAAAAACGTTTATTCGACTTGAATACCTGTCAAGGGGAGTTTGCGGATGTGGTGCATCAGTTGAAACGTAGCCTTGATAGGATGATTTGTCTTTTTTATGTCCTATAGACTTGTTTATTTTCGAAAAGAGATTGAATAATTCTCAGGCCTTTGTTGTAAATTTAAAAATAAAATCGGCTTAACAAATTGGAAATTTATATTCTGAAAATTTATATTTTCGAAAGATTTGAATTTAAAAATGGTAAAAAATAATTTTCAGTCCTGGACTGAAACTTGAGACTCTTCAAGATAATTCAGTCCTGGACTGAAACTTGATACTCTAATGAACAGGTGCCTGCGTGTGGCCGAAACCGATACGACTTGGATGATGCGGGTACGATAAATGATATATCATTTTTAGTGCATATTTATATACCATGAAGGGGGAAAATGCAGCCTCGGTAATTCCAGCTTTTTGATACATGCGTGCACAAAAAGCTTTAGAAAAGCTCGGTTTTATAATCAATTTGAGAAAAACTTACATGTTGGTTCTGGGTTAGTAGCCTTAGGCTTTAGCCAGTGAGGGTGATCCATTAAAACCCTGCGAACGAGAATTTTTTATTCCATAATATTTCTTGGAACATAGCCTTATATAAAGCATCCCTGGCTTTAAATGGGTCGCTTTTCATATTATATATTAATACTTATTATTACTATATATTTCAGTTTATAATATATTATAAATGGTCAGTAGTGTACGAAAGAGAAGAGAAAAAATCAAAGATTGTAATAGAAGGAGACGCTCATTAGATAATGCTTTAATTATCCGTTCTGATGGGCAACCGTTACAAAAACGGTTTCTACTGGAGATTCAGAGTAAATAATTCTATTTGATTAAAAATAAATTTTAAGATGAATCATCGGTTAATCTGACAGTGAACAGTGAACCAATGAATAAAAGAGGAAGGCCTAGAAAAGTTGTTAGATCTGGCCGTCCACGAAAGGATTTTAATCCTGTTCCTCAAGCAGCTTTTGATTTTGAAATGAATGCCCAAGAAGAATTGAATCGTGAAATAAATGTTGAAGAGTGTATAACTGAATCGGTTGTTTCATATAATTCAACATCAACGCTAAGACGATCATCTCGCATTTCACAATGCAGTTCGAGATTAAATGATGTTCAGGAGTCGTGGCCAGTTTTTAGCCCAATTACTCAACGTTGTGATCGTACACATTTTGGATTAGGATGTGGTGCCAAAGGTGCAAACCATATGCCTATTTATTATGACTCTTTGCCAAAGGTTAAATGATATTCAGAAAATATGATATATTTATATAGGATGATGTTCGATGCAAATATTGCAAGGCTAATCTATTACCATCCGAAGCAGTTGGGAACACTGCTTTCTCTAAATGTTGTGCAAAAGGCCGTGTGAGTATGCCTGAAAAGTATTCATCTTTGCAAGATATACCTATTGAATTGTTCGTCATTTTTAATGATCCGACAAGATTTGAACAACGTGATAATATTTTAAAACATTCAATGCTCTATAATGATCAATTAGCATTTGGCCACATACAAATTCAACGACAACGAGATTTTGCTGAGTCACATAAGATCGTTAAATGTAATAACATGATCAACTATTTGTTATGGGATTTTAACCCACCTGGAGGTGGCGAGCAGCCTTTGTTACGTGGTCAGCTATTTACAATTCCCGCTAATGAAGCAGCAAATAGATTGAATGAAATTGCAAACGATGTCGAATTAGACGTTAGCTTTCTATATTTTTAAACGTATAAAATATTTTTAGCAACAATTGTTAATCGTTTTGCATAACATTTTACGTGACTATCATCCATTTTCTACATTATATCGCATTGCTTCAGAAACTTATAGCAATTTAATTGAAGAAGAACAGATAAATTTCCGAATGTTAGTTATTGATACCAATAAAATTGGAGTTGAACGTATTCGACAAGATGATGAAATTCAGCCAATTGATATTGATCCTCAAGATGTTCAAGCATTACGGCGAATTCATCCTGGTAGACTTGAAGTGCAAACAGCTGCTGGAAGTCGCCAAATAGCACAAGTTTTATATTAAGCTATGCACATTTCTATTCATAATTTATGCAGATTTATTTGGATACTGGGGCTAATGTACCTGACTCGTTACACTATGACGTTATTCTAAAAGGTCGTCAAGGAACCGGTCAAGTTAAAATGTCTTGGTGGGACAGGAATATAGATCCTACTCTGTTTCCTTTATTATTTTCAAAAGGGCAATGTGGTTTCGGTATGAAATTTATTTGACGATAATATTTTATTTCTTAGAGAATGGAATAAATTTAAACCTTCGACCAGGAGAAGAGTTGAATCGTGCCAATCAACTTGTGGATAATGAAGGTGAAGAAGTAGAAGTATCTGAAGAACTTGGAGAAGGTGAAGAGTTTTTGGATCCTGTTTTTGAGGCACGCCAACATAGTCGCGATATGGTGTCAAGATCCCAGTATATTAGATATATGTTCCATCAGAGAGGATCATGGCGAGATTCGCATTGGTTATGGAACTGGGGACAACTTGCTCAATTATATGTTATTGCCTATAACAATCGGGTGGAAGCCCAGAAAGTGCAATATATTAAAACATTGCAAGGGAGAACAAGATTTGTTCGTCCTGGAGCTTTGCTTAACTGGCTTGAAAAATTACGTGATCAGCAAGGTTTTTCTATTACTCATTCTATTTAAACGATTGTCTAGGTTTAAAAGGACCAATTGGACAAATATATATGACGAATGAGCATTTTCGAGGCTCTATTCAATTTTATCAGAAACAGTATGGTAATTGTATGACAATATGCAGGGAGATTGGTTCTGTTGATCTGTTAATTACATTTACCATGAATCCCGAAGCCGAAGAACTTAGACGCATGATACCTGATGGATATTCATGGGCTGATAGACCAATGGAAGTTTGCAGATTATTCATTGATAAATTACATGAACTGCAATGCGACTTAACACAGCGTGAAGTTATGGGTCCAGTTAAGGGTTGGTTCTGGAGCCTGGAACATCAAAAACGGTATCTTATAAATATTAAAAGTCAAATATTTTTTAGCGGTCTGCCACATGTGCATTTTGCTGTTATTCTTGATTGGGACCGCATGCGTACACAAGGCTGTATATTCACAAAAGAAGACTATATGGATCAGTACATTTGTGCTGAAATTCCTGACTTGCCTAATGAAAGTGATCAGTCTCAATCGGCTCAGTTACAGCGAGAACTCTATAGAGTTATCGTTAGCGCAAATATTCATAAATGTGATAAACGCTGTTTAAGAGATGGTCGTTGCAAACAACGCTTTCCAGTTTGCTGATCTTAATTTTTGAGTAATATTTTATTTTAGAAAAAATATTCAGATGACAATAAATATTCGGATAATGCATATCCTGATTATAGACGAAGGGCTCCAGCCCCAAATGAAGAAGAACGGAAAAAAGATCCTCTGATCTATGGAAACGCACATTCATATACAGATAGATATGGGCAGCAACATTTTATTACAAATACAAATGTAGTGCCTTATAGCCCATTTCTTTCTTCTAAATACAAGGCGCAGTAAGTTTTTTCTGTTTATGTTGAATAATTTCTTTAGTATTAACGTTGAACTTGTGGCAGGCGATGGAAGTGTAAAATATATTTGTAAATATACGATGAAAGGAGCCGATATGGCTTTTATAAAAATTCAAGCAGAAGGATTTGAAGGAAATGCTTTGAGATTTGATCAATTTCATCAAATTCGGTTGGCTCGATATATAACACCAATGGAAGCATTTTTATCGATTTGGGGTGTGCCTTTAGTGAAAAAATCACATCAGGTTTATAAAATATTATTTTAAATATAATAAATAAAGGTTGATGAATTGGATCTTCATGGTCCAGAAGGACATAAAGTTGCCTTTCAAGAAGGTGAGGAGGAAATAATTGGTGAAAGATTATTAGCGCAAAGAGAAGCTGGAGAAGAGCGACTAACACAATTGACTTCTTATTTTGCGTTTAATAGAGAACTTAAAGAAAAAGGAAAACCCAGACTTTGCTTGACATATGCAAAAGCATATCGACGTTTGAGATATGATAAAATTAAGAAATCATGGAATTTTTACGTTGACCAAAGTGTTGTTAGAAAAAAACTTTGCAGAATGCGGACTGTTTCGCCAACAAATAAAGATCTTTTGGTTAGTTTTTTGGCAGATTTTAGATAATATAATTCAGGCTATTCGTATTCTGTTGACAACCGTTGAGGACCCAACATGTTGGGATGACTTACGAACATTTAATGGACAATTGTATTTTAATTTTATTGAAGCGGCAAAAGCACGAGGCTTATTAGATGATGATAATATTTGGAAAGAAACAATTGCTGAAGCTTTTGGCTCTCAGAAAAGAGTTCGACAGCGAATTCGTTGGCTCGCCTTATTTTTTGGATCAGCCAATTTGTCAAACCCCACAGCGTTACTTGATTATGTGTTGGGACTTAAAGAAGACTGGCTTGTCGGTACTCGAGTTGCTGGAAAAAGTTTTGAAGCAAGAAAAGAATATGTTCTCAACGCTCTTGAGTGGTTTTTAAGGGTTAATGGTGTCAGGCCAGATGAACTAGAACGTGATGATGATACATATCAATCAGCCTGTGAAAAAATCGGCTTACCTCGACCAACATGTAGAAATATACAACCAGAACTTTTAATTCAGGTTGTAAATAAATATTTAAATTTATTCAGAAAATATAGGCTGAAATTGATGCTGATACAATGCTCAACAACAACGTTGATCCTATTTTATTGGAAAAAAATCAACGAAAAAATAAACAGAGATACTATCTTGATCTTTATTTGTCCGATCCTCAGCCGAATGATGAACAAAAAGCAATTATTGAGGAAATAAAAGCTGGAATGCAAAGTGCACGTTATGTAATAGATGGGGAATCGCGTGAATTTGCACCAAATATTCCAAGATTCTTTTTCATTACTGGTGAAGGTGGATCTGGAAAGACATTTACTTACAATGTTAGTTGATAATAATGAATATATCATTTATTAAGTTTAGAAACTTATCGAATTATTGTTTGCAAGTGGCTTCCGTGTGTTACCAATGGCAAGCACCGGAATTGCGGCGGAGTTGTTGCATACTGGTGCGACAGTGCATAAACGATTGTGTCGACAGCGGAATGTGGATGCTTCAACGTATCCTAATGTTGAGTATCAAAGCATGTATGCTGAGGTTTTGCGAAATATTCACGGATTCATTATTGACGAAGTGAGTATGCAACATCGCGATGTCTTGGATTTTGTTGATCGATTGTTGCGCTCTATTGCTCCTCCAAATTTACAATCATCACCGTTTGGTGGCAAGGTTATATTTTAAAATAAGTATATTGTGTGTCGGTTTTCGGTTTTATTTTTTATTTAAGTTAGGTAAGCGCCCAATGATGCTGATATTTTAGAAATATCAGTCGGAGGGTTGCCCCCAAAGAGGAAGCCTTCGCGCGGCGGTGGGTGTCAGTAGGTTACACAGAGGGATAATACAAGGAAACTCAGCTGTAACTGAAGCGAATTCCTCGGAATACGAAAGATGGTGAAATTGCTGCCTAGAATAAAGGCACGGCATATTACTATATTTATTCCATGATTGGAGATTTACTTCAGGTTGATAAATGTTTGGACAAAAAGCTTAAATATTTAAATGCACGTTGGATTGTAAAATTGATATAAGGTTCTGGGTTAGTAGCCTTAGGCTTTTGCCAGTGAGGGTGATCCATTAAAACCCTGCGAATGAGGAATTACTGACCTTTGTCAGTATTGTTAGAAAATTTTATAAGATAATAAGAATAGATTGAGATAAAACCAATACACCAAGATATTTTGTGTCATTATTTATTCATATCTTTTAGTGCGTCGTGCTTGGTGGTGACTGGAAACAATTAATGCCAGTTGTTGTTGGAGGAAATAGTTTACAACAATTTGACGCATCAGTTAAAAATGTGGATTTATTCAACAAAAATTTTGTAACTCGTAAATTACACAAAAATCAACGCCTTGAAAAAGGACAAGAGCAATATCGACAATTCCTTAAGTGTGTAGGAACGGGAGTTCTCAATGACGCAGAAGATCGTGTGAGAATACCGGCTAAGATGCACACAAACTCTAAAGAAGAGCTTATTGACTTTGTTTTTCCACATGAGTTATTAGATAATTCTGTAGCACAATGGAAAGAAATATGTGGACGAGCAATTCTTTGCCCTCTTAACAATGAAACGTTTGAAATTAATAATATTATTATGGTAGGAATATATTAATAAAGTTATGAGCATAAAATTTAGGATCGAATCTCTGGACAAGAACAGACTTATTATGGTATAACAACGCCTATTATGAGCGAATCTGCAGAAGATGAATTAGTTAATAATATATCTGATGTGGATTATGAAAACTTAATTCGGTTAACACCTGCTGGAGTACCTGAGCATACGCTTAGAATAAAAGTTGGAGCAGTAATGATGCTACTTATTAATTTATCTGTATCAAATGGCTTATGCAACGGTACAAGACTCCAAATATTGAGACTCGGACGCAATATGTTGTATTGTCGAGTCTTAACTGGATCAAGCAAAGGAAATTTTATTGAAATATTTCGGACAAGATTTTTGTTTGGTGGCGATCCAAAAGCACCAAGAGAAGGAATGCTTCGTTGTGAACGAATCCAGTTTCCGCTACGTCCAGGTGCAGCTATGACAATAAATAAAGCGCAAGGTATAAAAATGTGTAATGATTTATTCAAATTTAATTTAGGCCAAACGCTTTCGCGTGTTGGAATTGTTATAAATACATCTCAATGCTTTTCGCACGGACATTTATATGTAGCCCTATCTCGTGCTCGAGACGTTGACAATGTCCTTATTCTAACTAAAAGAGCTGATAGACGTGTGAAAAATCCTGTTGTTCAGGCCATAATTGATAAAGATGATTTTGATGAAATTGGTCCTATTGATCGAACAGATCCAGTCAGTAAATATATTATTTTATAAATATAATGCTTTCAGATGTTTCAACAAGAAGATTTTAATGAATCTGATACAGAAGAACCTGTGAATATAGTTAGAATTCCACATTCACAAAATGCTGAAAGACCTAATGTAGCCTGCTCAAAAGCAGTTGTTCGTGCAACGCTTGATTTGCCTATTACAGCAAAAAAAGAACATTTGCTTAAAATTAATGTTATACGAAAACACTTGACATCGGTTGAATCAGATGTCATTACTACTGTAATGCAATCAAATTTGGAGAACAAAATACATGATGAAATTCTAAGAGCTTGTCAACCAGAAATGGACATGCTATTAGAAGCAATGCAATCTATAATTGAGAATATCGGAGTTATGAATTATGGAGACGTAATTCATTCTGAAACATTCGGCGAACTACAGAAGATTGCAAAAGGTTTTTATTAAAATTTTTATTGACAAAAGCTGTATTTAATGAATTTTAGTAATTGTTCACATGTTTGCTCCACAAGTGATTGGGAGTCGTAGCACAAATGAAGATAAATTAGCTTTGACAGCATGCTGTTCAAAAGCATTGGATATAATGAGAGAAAAGGACTTTACGTCAATAGTAATTTTAAAAGTATTAATATATTATTTATTTTTAGTCCTTTCCTTGTGGGGCATTTTTATATCCTAGAGGTGAAGCAGCAAAAATAATTGTTGAATCGTTATTAGGCTGGATTTCGCGAAATGAAGATTATTTGCCTAAATTGTCAAAGATATTTTTGGTAGTACCGTCAAGAAACGATGAACTTCTTTATAAGGATTCATTGGAAAAGGTTGAACTTTTTAATTAGCATCATTATCTGTTTTAGGCTAAAAGTCAATTACGTATTACTGCTAAGCATAGTATACAACAAGATCATATTGAAAATATTTGTGACAATGCACATAGTGAAAATTTGAATATACCACGTGCTCTTCTTGATAATGTAATTGGAGATGGTGACTGCCTCTTTAGATCTATAATTAGAGCACTGCATGGTGGATCTGAACAACAAGATCTACAAAATGATCAACAACAAATTCTTAGAAGACTAATAGCTCGCAGTTATCAGCGTGATATTGCGAGAGCTACAGATGAAGAAGTGGCAATATTAGTTAATGAGGTAGAATGGAACGCAGAACATATTCAGAGAGCTGGGTTGCTCTTAGATGAGCTTAATCTAAGAGCCTCTTTAAGACGTTATAGCATCCATATGATGCACTCGTCAAATTATGATGATACACGATGGGGCTCACATCTTGAAGTTCGATATGCAGAAATTGTACTGAACAGGAATATAATGATTGTGGAAAACCGGAGAGAATTAGTCGGAAATGCATGGCGGGAACTTGACGGAGTTTATGAAGCAATTTTTCTGGGAAATCATGAAATAAACATTGCTGATTTGGTAAATATTTAATCATTGGCTACATAATATTTAATTAGGGTCTTGCTCGATTCACCGAATACAGTCAAATTTTTGACGTGTTGCGCCAACTTAATATGATCGATGTAATTGTGCTTAGGCGAAGTGGATCTCATTATAGACCCATCTATATGGTATTTTGATTTTTATTTAATCGTTAATATTATATTCAGCACCCCATGGATGAACAACAAAGACAGATAAATCTGAATTTGTTGATGAACATTTTACACGATGTCCCTGATGAACCATGGAATGAATAATATTTAAAAATATTTTGTTTTGTTAAAATATCGATTTTTTTGTTTTTAGTAAATTTTTATTCGAAAAGTTTTTTGTTTTAGTAGGTTTTACTTTATGGAGTCTTAGTATTTCCAGGGATCCATTAGAATTCGTTTAAGTATGTGAAGAGTCAGAATTAGAAACGAAAAATGGTGATAGTTCTGCCTAGTACGGAAGGAAAGAAAATGAAAAAAATTTTCTCGATGTTGGAGAATTTTATTTATACCTTTAAGGTTTAAAAGCCCCAGCATATGGCATTCTCCTTCTACTATGATTGGTAGCAGGTTGCTAAAGCCTTAGCACGCAAGTGCAGGTGTCTGTCGGGGCGCAAAATACGTTTATATGACTTGAATACCGATCAAGGGATTTTTTCGGATGCAATTGCGTCTGATTAAATATAGCCTTGGTCGGATGATGTCTTTTTTAAATGCTATAGACTTGTTTATTTCCAGATTTTACATACAGTATAGGGACCAATTTTCAAATTGAATGAGACATTGATTTGTAAATTGAATGGGGAATAAATGCGTAATTAATCGAAGAATTGAAATGAAAATCTGTGTATAAAATCAGTCTCTATTTAATAAAAATATAATCAGAAACCTGCACTGGTCATACCCCTTTAAATTTTGAAAAAACTGAAAATTTTTGAATTTTCAAAAAATCGACCCTAAGACCCCCAAACTTTAAGTTTTTCAGAAATTTTTTAATATCAAAAAATTTCTAATTTTTTCTTTATTTAATAATTCGAAGTTGGTTTGAATCAGAGCAAAACTCACAAAGTTATGGCCGATTTAAATTTTTCCAAAATATTTCATAAGGGGTAACCCTTTGAAAAATTTTGAGTAAATTTTTTTCAAGAAAATTTTCTAATTTTTGGCCATAATAGGTTTTAATGATCGTTGATAACGGATCCGTTGTCCGTTTATTTAAAAAAATTTTTCCTCCAAGTTAGAGGCCAAAAAGTTTCACTCATGGCCTGAAGTTGTGGAGACCCAAGATTTGGTCACTCATAAATTTGTACAAAATGGTCAGAAATTTTTTCTGATTTTATTTTTATACTCAGCTCATTAAGTGCTTACATTTGATATATAATTTGGGCAGGTTTTAAAATTTTTGGTAAAGTTGAGATTTCGGCCAAAAATTTTGCTCGATTTTTTCAAAAAATTTTTTGAAAAATCATAACTTCGTTTGTTTTTGGGATTTTGGAAAAGTTTAAAGTTTATTATGTGTATAAAATCTGGCTTTATTTTAAAAAATTAATCAAAAACCTACACTGCTTATACCCGTTTAAATTTTGAAAAAACCAAAAATTTATGATTTTTCAAAAAATCGACACTTAGACCCTCTAACCTTAAATTTTTCAGAAATTTTTGTACATTAAAAAATTTCTAATTTTTTACTCTATTTAATATTTTTGTTTGGTTCGCATTGGACCATAACTCACAAAGTTATGGTAGATCAAAGTTTTTCGGAAATATTTAATAAGGGGTACCCCTTTGAAAAATTTTTGTAAATTTTTTTTGAGAAAATTTTCTAATTTTTGGCCATAATAGGTTTTAATAGACGGGGATAACGTTGCCGGAGGCAACCGCAAGAAATTAAAAATATTTTTTTAAATTCGGAACGCGTTGTCGGAGGCAGGAAAACATGCGGGCCAAAGGCCCGCATGTTTTTTATGACTTAAATGTAAAAATTTATAACTTTTGAAGTATTAGACATAGAAAGATGATTGAGGTGTCATTCGATGGGGAATTGAATGAGGAGTTGAATGAAAATATTTTCAAAGGTGTCACTTGAGTCTGAGAATGGACATTTGAGTCTGAAATTTTCAATTACTGGGAAATTAACCCAAATTGAATTATTTTAACTGTAATAACGCTGGAGTCAGCCTTTATACCCAAAAAGCTTATTTACATGTCAGCAAT